ATAACTTTTAAAATAAGATATGTAACTTAAAACCACTCATCAAACTTATTTTTAATCAACTGGATTTAGAAATGAAAGTAATCTGATACTAACTAAATTTACAAACATAATCTAGTGATATCAAGAGAGAACAATTATAATCATAGGCAATGATTTCATTGCAGTGTTTCCTTATTTCTTCGAGCAGTAGTAGGTTGTTGAAATTGTAAAGGATACGTGTTTACAAAATAATAGGGAGTATATTTCTTATACAATTGAATAAAAGAAATGGCTCTTTAATAGCCTTACAGAAACTGAATCAGAGAAAAAATAGCCCACTCTAACAAACACTAAAAATGTGGGATAGTGGCAAGAGAATAGGTAAAAGCAATAACTCACTAACAGCACTAACATTGCTTATTCTAACTGACAGTAAATTAACATAAAAGAAAAAACAATTTTAACATCCTCCCTTAAACTGAATGTTACTTAACAATCAGTTTACTATTGGCGGTTGACACACTCCCAATAAGTTGCGCAATTTCACAAAAGCATCAAGTTTCAAAGGCTTTGTCATCACATCGGCCACTTGTTCTTGAGTATTGCAGTGAACTAGTTCTATAGTTCCATCCTTTGCGAGTTCACGAAGAAAATGGAATCGAACATCGATATGTTTGCTACGACCGTGCATTACAGGATTTTTAGCAAGCTTGATTGCTGAGTTGCTGTCGCAGTAAACAGTTGTTGAGCTGTTTTGAGTATGTCCAAGCTTCTCCAAAATCTTTCTCAACCAAACAGCCTGACAAGCACAAGTAGATGCAGCAATAAATTCTGCTTCTGTAGTAGACAAAGATACTACAGGCTGTTTTTTAGATAACCAAGATATTGCAGCAGAGCTCAATAGAAACACATATCCCGACGTGCTTTTTCTATCATCCAAGTCACCCGCATAGTCACTATCCGTGTACGCGACTAATTCTTCATTTCCGCCCTTCTTGTAAAACACACCATAATCAGCTGTCCCTCTTAAGTATCTTAAGATTTTCGTTGCTGCTTGCAAATGTAGTTTAGTAGGATGCTCCATGTATCTACTTATGAGACTAACAGCAAACATAACATCCGGTCGAGTTGCCGTTAAGTACATAAGACTTCCTACAATCTGCTTGTAGTAAGTACTATCAATCTTCATGCCATCTTGATCCTTTTGAAGCTTCTCTCCAGGAACCATTGGATTTAGAACAGAATTACTTTTGTCCATTCCAAATCTTTCCAATACTTCCATCACATATTTTTTTTGACTAATGAATATGCCCTCACTCTTTTGCATTACTTCAACACCTAAAAAATACCTCATTTTTCCCAAATCGGTCATATCAAACTCAACCATCATGGATTTTTTGAATTCAACATACATTGACTCATCATTGCCAGTGAATATCAAATCATCAACATACAAGCTTACAATTAGAATTTTACCTCCAGCACTTGTCTTAACAAACAAAGTGTGTTCATGAGTGCATTTTTCAAAGCCTTCCTTCAAAAAATATGATTCTATGCGACTGTACCAAGCTCGTGGAGCTTGCTTCAGTCCATAAAGTGCTTTCTTTAACTTGTACACCTTATGCTCATTGCCCTTGATTTCATATCCGCAAGGCTGTTCCACAAAAACTTCTTCATTTAGTACACCGTGCAAGAATGCCGACTTTACATCCAACTGATAAACGGTCCATCCCCTTTGAGCAGCAAGTGCAAGCACTAGTCGAATGGTATCTAATCTTGCCACCGGTGCAAAGACTTCATTATAATCAACTCCATATTTTTGAGCATATCCTTTTGCTACAAGTCGCGCTTTGTGTTTGTCTATTTCTCCATTCTCATTAAGCTTTGTTTTGAATATCCATTTCACTCCAATTTTCTTTCCACCAACCGGTAAATTTGTCAACTCCCAAGTGTCATTCTTCTCTATTGATTCTAATTCCAAATTCATGGCATTTCTCCATTTTTCACTCTTCACAGCTTCTTCAAATGAAATTGGGTCAGCACCTGCAAACATGGCCATGTTAGTCATGTTTTCTTCTTCTTCTGACAGTCCTTCTCCACTTTCATAATCCCTCATCCATACAGGTTGTCGTATTATTCTTCTATTTGAATCTTGCCGACTCTCTTCAATTGACTCGTTTGAATCAGAGTGATCAAGTTCTCCTTGTATTTCTTCATTGATGCTTGTATCATTTTCTGCACTTGCAGCAGTGGCAGATTCATCTTGTTCATCTTCCCATTCTAAATTTTCTTTGATGTTTTCCTCATGTCTTTTGTTCCAGTCCCAACTTTTATCTTCTTCAAAAACGACATCTCTACTAACAATAATCTTACGAGAAATTGGATCGTACAACCTGTATGCCTTTGATTCTTCACTTACTCCAAGTAGAACACAACTAGTACTTTTTCTGTCTAGCTTTGTTCTTTTTCTGTCGGGTATGTGGACATGCGAAACACATCCAAAGACTCTAAAGTACTCAACTGATGGCTTTACATCACTCCAAGCTTCTTCAGGAGTCTTGTTTTTCACAGCAACCGTTGGACATCGGTTCAGCACATGAACAGTCCAATTTACAGCCTCGGGCCAAAAATTCCTTGGAACTTGTTTCTCATACAGCATGCAACGAACCATGTTCATAATGGTTTTGTTTTTCCTCTCGGCTACACCGTTTTGCTGTGGTGTATATGCAGCCGTCAGTTGCCTATTTATACCATTATCCTTGCAAAAGTCATTAAATTCTTGTGATGTAAATTCACCACCCCTGTCAGTACGCAAGCATTTGATGAATATATTTGTTTCTTTCTCCACGTGATTTTTAAAGCTTCTAAAAGTGTCAAAAGCTTCAGATTTTTCTACTAAAAAATATACCCATGTTTTACGACTATAGTCATCAATGAAAGTAATTAGGTACCTCTTTTTGCTATTTGAGGCTGGTGTAATAGGCCCGCATATGTCAGCATGTATCAACTGTAGGATTTGAGATGCTCTCCACGTGCTCACTTTAGGAAATGGATCCCTCTGTTGCTTTCCCGCAAGGCAGTCTTTACAAATTTTAGAGGGAGTTTTGAGTTGTGGAAGACCATTCACCATCCCTTTTTGCTCAAGAATCCTTAAGCCTTTAAAGCCTAAATGTCCAAATCTACAGTGCCATAACTGAGTTGAGTCTTCAGTAATTGTGTTGAAACAAGCCGATACACTTGACTGAGGCTTAACCGGCAAAATGAACATTCTGTTTGAGGACATTATAGTTTCCATGATCAAGCCTTTCTCCTTATGATAGATCTTGCATTTTCCATGTTGAAAAATGATAGTTAGCCCCTTTTCTTGTAGCTGACCAATGCTCAACAAGTTGTTCTTTAGCTCAGGAACATAGAACACACTAGTAATGATATGTGAGATTCCATTCAATTGAAATCTCACATTTCCTTTTCCTTTCACAGCCATGCTGGAATTGTTTCCTAACTTCACAGTTTCACTAAAATTTTCATCCAAATCAGAGAATACATCCTTCTTACCACACATATGATTACTACACCCTGAGTCAATGAACCATGCTTCTTCCTTATCTGATTCTTTACTTTCCACGGATGCCATCAAAAGCATTTCTTCTTGAAATTCTGCATAATTGACTTCACTCTCCTTGCTTGGACATTCATATTGAAAATGACCAAGTTTATGGCAATAATAACACTCCACAGTGGACTTGTCAAAATTTGACATGCCCCTTCCTCCACCTCGTCCGCGAAATCCTCCACGACCACGACCGCGACCTCTTGATCTGTTTTCATAGGTTACTTTCAAGGCTTGCTCTTCAATAACAGGAACATTCATGCGTTGCTCATGCACCAGCAAGCTACTTTGTAGTTGGTCGACTGATAAGGCGTCAATGTCATTTGACTCCTCAATAGAGCAAACAACATAGTTGAATTTTGGAGTCATGGACCGCAAAATTTTTTCAATAACAGTAACATCTCCCATAGTCTCTCCATGGGTTCTCATCTTGTTGGCTATGGTGAGGGTTCGAGAAAAGTACTCGTTCACCGATTCTCCAGCTTTCATCTGCAAGATTTCAAATTCCCTTCGAAGTGCTTGTAGTTGTGCTCGTTTAACCCTTGCCGTCCCTTGATACTTCTGCTTCATTGAGTCCCAAATGTTCTTTGACGTTTCTTTCTTCAAGATTGTCTCCAAGATAGATCTATCAATTGCTTGAAAAAGATAATTCTTTACCTTTAAATCCTTGAGTTTTTGATCTTCAACAGTTTTTCTTTGTGCCTCAGTTGATTCTGCACCCCCAACTGCTGTAGGGATCCCATTTTCAACCAAGCTCCAGTATTCCTTGGATCGAAGGAAGTTCTCCATGAGCATTGCCCAATGATCATAGTGACCATCAAACTTTGGAATGGATGGTTGAACAAAACTGCTGTTTTCTGCCATCTGCTTGAAAAGACTGCTGCGTTTCAAGTATTGATCAGGCCCCTTCTAGAGGAGCTCTGATACCAATTGTAAAGGATACGTGTTTACAAAATAATAGGGAGTATATTTCTTATGCAATTGAATAAAAGAAATGGCTCTTTAATAGCCTTACAGAAACTGAATCAGAGAAAAAATAGCCCACTCTAACAAACACTAAAAATGTGGGATAGTGGCAAGAGAATAGGTAAAAGCAATAACTCACTAACAGCACTAACATTGCTTATTCTAACTGACAGTAAATTAACATAAAAGAAAAAACAATTTTAACAGAAATTTATACTTATTTTGCGTCAGCATTTCCCAGTAATTTTAAACATATACTTATTTACTATTACTACTACTAATATTTTTATTATCGAAAAAAAAATGTTTCTAGAAAACAGCTAAGCGATAACTTAACATGCATCAAAAAGCTCAAAATTGCATATGTTATCACTTATTACACATCTACATCAGTTAAGTGTGCCACTAATTCTCTTTGTTACATGACTTGACATGCAATCCAATGCTAAAAACTGTTTCTCTCATTACCAAAGGGAGTTACCGATAGCATATTGCATGTAGTTTCCCAAAGCTCATGTGCTAATTTGGTGTTTCGTGAAAGTGCTGAAGAGTTTATAGTTCTACCTTTCCCCCCAAAAAAGTAAGCTCCTGATGTTCCCTGGAAAAATTTAAGAGCAACATTTTGAACTCAATGGCTCCAGTCAAGACTAATTCATATGAAATACCAGTCATCCAACTATTTGCATAGATCAATTACTAAAAACAATGGTGATAATGAGATTGAAAGTCTAAATTAGTAATATCACATCATCAAATATAATTCCACATTATTAATGAAAATGATAGGTCATATAGAATAAGCCCCAAACGTTGTGGGAAAATGTCAAGCAACATGCGAAATTTCAGAGTTACTTTCAAACATTGCGGGCTTAATATATTTATATAAATAATTGACCAATATGTTGTTTCCTAGGGTTAGTTCAAGATGAATTGCCGATGCAGAAGTATAAGGCATCAGGAGATATTGCATCAGATGAAACCTTAGACATGACTACAGCTAATGGTATAACAAGTCAATGAGTTGGTAGACAACACCTTTGGTCATTTTGAGACATTAAATCATGCACGAAAATGTGAAACAGATATCAACAAAGACCACTAAAAATGTACTCACAGGTGGAGCAAAAGCAGCATCAACAATCGAATCTTTCCCACAGTCAGGGGATTGCAATAGGCGTAGGCGTTTCAGTACAAAGTATGCCAACCAAGACAGGCATGCTGGAACTTCTCGCATGATGTTTGTTTGTACAATTCCAGGATCTGCAACACTGATGCATAACAATACAGAAAATGAATGTTAATAGTGGAGTAGAATCCAAGGTTATAACCAGAAATAGAATAAAGCTTTATCTACAAAACTTAAAACATTTTGCATCTCTCTCTTTTTCTTGCAACTTTTATTTTCCTGTCTAATTTTTATTCAAGTTGATTCGCCTTGCAACACTAGCTCAACTCCAAATTCACTCTTGTTGGTGCTATTTATGCAACACTAGCTCAAACCCAAATTCACTCTTGTTGGTGCTATTAATGCAACACTAGGTCTAAACCCAACCACAAGTGCACAAGTGAGTTTTCATAAGAGTGTAGCTGCTCCCGCTTAAACATTCTGTGAAACTAATTGGATGATTAGGTAGTTGTGGCTTAGTTGGGAGCAGGGGCGGGGCATAAGCTTCTTGTTGGGAGCCAAAGATTGTGAAAGTATCCTTAACAAGAGAGGGGTGCAGAACAGATCTCAGTCTTTAATTGAAAGTTCAGAACCGTATAAGAATTACAGGCCTAGCACGAGATTAGCAGACAAAACACTGTGTCCAGATTGGCATATACATTTGCCAAAAGCAAGAGCCCATGGGTTGTGCAGAAAAGAGAAACAAAATTTTGTAGGAAAGTCATGGAAGCAATCAGACAAACATATTCGAGCTACAAAGATAACAGTAATACATTAGTTGGTTAACCTATACAAAAACAAACCTTCAATCTTTACAAATATAAACAGCACTTAGAAACAAGAAAGTAAAAGGAAATAAAAGTCGATTCAATAAACATACTTGACAAATATCTGATGAGATTTACCCATTTGGGTAAGCTGTCGGTGGAGCTCAAATGAGAAGAGAAGTAGGCATACTTCAACAAAATTAAATGCTAATTAGGAATTCGGACTAAAGATACAATGTCGCTAGTTCATCCAGAATATGCAGCTTACGTTTTGAGTACTCATAGACCTGAGCATATGGATAATGATTTGTACTTAAAAATTTCTTTCCAGAAACAGTTCCCTCGTCAACCTGCATATTAGTAACTGAAGAAAAGAGCTTGAGAAGGTTCTATAGGAGCGCTATTCTAGAGAAAATCTGGTAAATTTTTTACATAAGACGGTAAAACCCACAGAATAGGATCGCCAGACAATAATATAAATACAAAAGTAAGGACTAAAATAATTATCCTACCAGCTCGGTGAGTAAAGGATGTTACATTCACAACCTTGGAAGACACTGGACTGTTTTCAAGAAGTGGTAATAGAAGCTTGGTCAAAACAAATGCTCCAACATAATTTGTGCCGATCATCCTGGCAGAAAGAGTGTAAAACATGCGGGTTTTAAAAGTTACCACTAATTTTAAAACAGATCAATAATCTTGTATCAAAGGCTCTCATAAAAAATGCATCAACTGTGCATACAAACAGTGCTATCTGTGTTTCTCAATTTTCAGTTCCATAAATTCACGGTGATCATGCAAATCAACATTGTCTCAATTTTTTCACATTTAACAGTAGGAAAGTAATATTATTTGAAAGTTAGTGACCTATCACAGGAGTCCTTCGCGCCTTTTGTTGTGTCATGCAAGGCAAGCATATGAATGGAAGTTCCAACCCAATAATAAAGATAGAATTTGCTAACACTACCGCGGGAGATTTAAGAAAAATAGTAATTACTGATCGTAGCCCTCAGCCGTGACTCTAGGAGATGTAGCAAGTAGTCCAGCATTGTTTATTAGTATTTGTACCGAGCAGTGCAAATTGGAATCCAAAAGCCACTGCCGCAACGAACTTTCAAACTTTATAATGGACTCAACCGACGAAAGATCAGCCTGAAAAGCTTTGAGTTGAGCATCCTCATTAAAATCTTTGATCTTTCTTATAGTCTATCAAACAACAGAAAGAACACCGATAAGATCCTTACAAAGCACGGAATCATGTTACCATGACGCTAATAATAATTAATGTAGAAAAATACCTCCGATAACAATTTCTCTGATCTTCCAACTGCATAATCCACAACTGGAATCTTAGGTAAATAGACCTTAAAAAAATATTTTCAGTGTAAAATGTAAATAGACCTAAGCTATTTTGGTATTTCTTTTTTAGACGAAGTACTAATAATCACTAGAAACTCAGACAGAGTGGTTCTAACTAACTCTGGTGATGACGTACAACCTAATATCAGGACTTGTTCTATTTCTAAGAAGATGATAAAAAAAGAATAAAGAATTACCAATAACGATGAGAAATCCCTCCTTGGAAATCTTGCATGCGGTAGAAAATCCCAAACCAGATGTTGCCTGCAAAAACAAAAACAAAAAAATCACATAACTGTTAGAATAATAATAATGATGATAAAAATTGCAAGAGAGTGATGAGAATTACACCGGTGATGACGCAAACGGGAGTATTAGGGTACGTGGAAAAGGAACACCTGGGATATACGATTTTGTGAGAAAAGAGCGAATCCTTGAGCAATTGGAAGTGAGAAAATAGAACGGAAAGTGTCCATAACAACGCCATTCTCCAGAATTGAATCGATAGAACGAAATGGAGACCGCGCCACAAATCCTTTATGAAATTGATCACTGACATTGCTATTGCTATCATGATTCGTTGTCAAAAGAGAGAGAAAGAGAGAGCGTTCGTTTTAATTCAGCTTCGTTCAATTCTTCATGCTACTTAAAGGGAGAAGAACAAAATCCCACGGTTTGCTTACAAATAGTCTACACGATGGAATTTAATGAATCTAAATCTAGACTTAGTTTAAATAAAGGTTTAAAAAATAAGATGGAACCGGCTAGATCAACGTGCTCAACTTTGAATCGTTGTCTAATTCAATTTAATTTGAATCAATAAAAAGTTAAGTCTATAAAATTAGAATAAAATTATTTTAATCGTGAATTATAAAATTTGGGATCGGTTTTAGTGAATTACAAGATTAAAAAAATCAAATATAATTTTTTTAATGTTTTATTTTATTTTATTTATTTGTTTAAATTTAAAAAATTAATTATAACAAACAATTAAAATTGTATAGATGAAAAATAAAGAATAAAATTGAAAGACATGAGACAATGTAAATGCAAAATAGAAAGAGAAAAAAATAATGTAATATTTGTGGAGATGGGTAATTGATGATGGTCTTAAAAGAGAGATGTGAAAAATTATACTGAACTTGTTACTTTAAATTAAACAATTAATATAAATGTATAAATATTGATCTTTAACTGATTTTCTAATTTGTTAATGAGTCTTAGATTAAATTATTATTCTTTTACAAGTTTGTTTATTAGTTTCATATTCATTTGAGAATTTCATTTTATAAATTATAATATAAATTAATTTAATAGAATGTTTAATAATATAATTATTTATTTTTTAATTAAAATTTAATAAACGATTCAATTACAATTTAATTATTTGAACTGATTGAACTTTAATCTGTGTGTTTTAACGGCCCGTTCAATTTTTAAAATGTTGATTTAAATAAATTTAATTTAAAGATGATTAATTATAGTTAATTTAAAAGTTTTTCTTTTCGACTACACAATTTAAAAGATAATTAAGAGTATTTTGGTAAGATAAAAAAAAACATCTTTTAATTTTTAGTTTTTAATTTTTTATTTCACATAAATAAAAAAAGTTTCGTTTATAACTGTTTTTAGTTTTTAATTTTTGACTTTTTTTTTCAAAATTATTTAAAGTAATTTTTAAGTTTGCAACTTTTAACTTAAGATTTTTTTCATCTATTTATATTCTTATTAGTTTAATAAAAAAAATCATTCTTATTTTACAACATAATGTTTTTAATAACATTTAAGTTATATAATAAATTTTTCATCTATTAACCTACAAGATAATGCAGTGTTCAATGTTTTTAATAACATTTAAGTTATATAATAAATTTTAAAAAAGTATTGATAATTCTCAAAATTAATGAGATTAATTAAGACTTAAAAATTTCAAGATTTTATTGTATTTTCTATGGTAAAATATTAAACAATAAATTTGTTTTTGTTATTATTTTAAATTAATTTAACTGAATTCAAATTTCATATATCTTATTAAATTTTACTATAAAACTTATATATTTTAAGGATATCTTCAATTTTTCACTTATCTTTAATTTAATAATAAAATAATGTAATATAATAAAATAAATAAATCATTAATTTCTTAATAAAAATATTCTTGTATCATTTTATATTTATTAAATAGTATAACAATTAATTTATTAAACACTCAAATTAATTTATCAACTATCAGTCATTAGTTATAAATTATCGATCACTAGTTATCAGATATTAACTATCTGACAAACAAAGCCTAAATAATTACATTCATTTTATTCAATCAAATAATTAAATCACTTTTTTTAAAACAAATTAATAATTTTAATATGTTACCTTTTTAATTTTTTTTCTTTCTACACTTTTTCAACAAAAGTTAGTTATTGGAACAAATTTAGATGAATTATTTTAATTGGTAAAGTAAATTATGAGTATTTAGTAAACAAGGAGTTTAAGATGAAAGGACACGTAAATTTATAATATTGTCATAATAAAAAGATTTAGGTATGACTAGTAGTAATTTATTTTATGTGTTTTTTTTTTAAATTATTAAAACTAAATAAGAATTTTGGGAAAAAATTTTATAGGGTTGGCTCTAGCTGACAAGGTGAGAGAGAAATTTTGGTGAGTAGTTTTTCTTACGGTTTAACGGTTGAATCTCTTGTTGAGAGAGTTTAAACTCTTAATCTTCTGATTATAGACTAAATAAATAGATTTACACTTTAACCTTATAAGAATAATTCCGACGAACTCAGAGGTGACCTAGGACATGTGGGTCGAGACCGGTCGAAGAAATAGGCAGCAACGACACCACCAACGATGGTTATAATGATATCGCCAATGACTAATACTCAATTGGATAACCTAAAAACTTGTTTGAAAGAATCTAATAGCAATTAGGATATGCAAGATCAAGAAGTGAATAGGAAAGACAAAACTTTGAATACACCACAAAAAGCTATCAAGGACTCTAAGATGACACTAGAACTGCTCGTTGAAGAAAACAAGGAAGCCCCAAAACCTAATTTCGAAGAAGAAACGCTAACACCTTGGATGGACATAATTCGAGATAATCGTCTAGCTTTTAACGACATTGAATATATATATATATATATATATATATATATATATATATATATATATATATATATATATATATATATATATATATATATATATATATATATATATATATATATATATATATATATATATATATATATATATATATATATATATCGTAAACAGAGAAATCGAAGTGATTATTAATGAGCATGATATTGAATTTGAACTAAAATACTGGAATAATGTATGTTGTGGGAGAAGAGCTGTCCATGAACGCAGTAAAAAATTTATGATTAACGCATGGAACTTTGTATCAATAGTTGTTTTATAATGAAGAAGAATATTTCATAATAAAATTCAGATGGAAAGTAGACAAAGATCAAGTATTGATGCGAGGGTCATATATAATCTATAAGAAACATATGTTCTTACATGAGTGGACACCTGAATTCACACTCAAAGATAATCTACTAAGGATGCTATCAATATGGGTGACTTTCCCTTAACTTCCTTTAGTCTTGTGGGAGAAAATAACATAGGTAAAATAGCAAGTGCAATTGGATAACCACCAATGACAGATGAACAGACAACAAATAAATTAAGAGTCTCGTATGTGAGAGTTTTAATTAAAGTGGATGTTACAACTGATTTTGAGTGACTATATCAACCTCAAGAATCCAAAAGAAAACAAAGTGGAATATGAATGGAAATTTCCATTTTACAAAACTTGTAATAAGGTGGGACATGACTCCAAAATAAAAATTCAACACTCAAAGAAACAACAAATTTGGATAGCTAAACAAATTGAGAAAGAGGATGGAGTGATTACTCAAAATGAAGGAACAAACACACAAACTGAAAAAGAAGAATCACATGAACAACTTAAATGGATAGTAGTGAAATCTTCCAACAAGAACAAAGAAAAAGAAGCAATGAAATAAAGGAATATATCAAGTAATTAAATTCATTTTATTCATTCAAAAAATTAAATTATTTTTTTAATTATTTTTTCTTTCTATCTTTTTTTTTTATTTCTTAGTTTTATATATACTTTTTACAATGGAAGTTAGTTCCTGAAACAAATTAAAATGAGTTATTTGGTATAGTAAATTATGAGTGTTTAGTAAACAAAGAGTTTAAAAGTTAAAGCACATAGGTGATTTTATAATATTGTATAATCAGAATATTTTAAATATAACTGATAGTTTATTTTATAAGTGCCATATTATGATTTATCATCTTTTGGCAGTTTAGTGAATTTCATTTTACTTTGTTGTTCTTTTTATGTGTAAGTTATTTTTTTAAAGTCAGATCTGGATCTCAGTATCTAAAGTTTAGCGTTCATGTGTTATTTTTTACTAGACCTTTGATTTATGCTTTGCACATCTATAATAAAAAATCCAAAATAAATAATAGAGATGTATATTGAAATCAAAATTGTCCTAGTTAGTTGAATATTAACAAAACTTCATTTTGTTCTAATGATTTGAAAATAAAATTTAGTATTTTTTTTTATTTCTTTGACCATTAAATAAACTAATTTTTTTAATCTAATTAAGAAAAGGCCATTTTATTTGTTGTAATAAACTATATACTCTTTCTCTCGTAATATTATTCATTAAAAATTAATACAGACCAAATCGTACAATTTTAAATAAAAATTAAAAAATAAGTGAACAATATAACAAGTTAAGCCACTAATATGACTGAAGAAAAAAAGGATGTAGGACTTCAACCCGTGCAAATCATGACCTTCAACTCAACTCATATATAAAATCATGAAGTCACGACTTTGTCAATAATAAATGTCTATTATCTTAAATTCATTAACAACTTGAGAAACAACGTGGCAAATAGAATGTTTTATTAAGAAGTGCATGACATTTGTAAAAGATCATTGAGATTTGTGTTTGTCTTGGTAAAAACGTATATGTGTATGTGATATTTCTATACAGGCAGGGGATATTTGTAACACTCTAAATCTCACGCATTGAAGAATCACATTTAATTATAAATACAATTATATAGAGTATCACACACACAAAAGAAACACATAGTATGTTTTGTAGCACGGGTTTTCAATAAAATAGTCTAAGGACATACATTTATAATTGAGATACTTACACGACATCCAACACATCTGAATCATACATGCGATGTTTATACGACATCCAACTCATTTGATCAGTATCACATTTTTATGTAATGATACATTTATAATCTGTCATTGCATGCTCACTTCCTTTTTAAGGTATCATCGTAGCATAATTATCATCAACAATTATAGAAGATAAAATAAGTAATGATGTTTAGTCTCAATCTTTAACTTAAATAGTATAATAAGAGAGTTGCAATCAATCAACTCAACAACTTAAGAATGTTCAACAACAAAAATTAGTCTTATAACTTTGACATAACAAACATAAGGGATAAAACAAGCGTTCCCGATCCAATATT